GCCTCACGCGTACCTTTTCAAGCCACCTACACAGCACATGTGACTTTGGATGGGGTGCTTTCCTTTTGAACTAACCCATCGGAAGACTTTTAGTCCGGGTTGATAACACCAACCGGGACTAAAAGGACCTTTAGTCCGGGTTGATAACACTAACCAGGACTAAGGGTGTACTTTTAGTCCGGGTTGGTGTTATGAACCGGGACTAAAGGGTCAAGGCTCATTAGTCCGGGTTGGTAACATCAACCGGGACTAATGTAGACCCTTTAGTCCAGGTTGGTGTTACCAACCAGGACTAAAGGTTTCTCTAGTCCCGGGCGCGAAAAATACCGGGACTAAAGCCAAATTTCAAAGTGGATCAAAAGTCGTTTCTCTACTAGTGGCAAGTGCCACATGGGATGCCATGTTGACATGCCGCTGACTTGGCAAATCTAGAAAACGTCATAAAACTAAAATTTGGCCTGATAAGACCCATATGAGAGGCAGGCTTCTAATGGGCCACAAATATTATTTGCGCTGATTTTTTTTTCAACGTGGCCTATTTTTTTAGTTTATTTCAGCCCATATTTTTTGTCCTAAATCAACCCATTTTTTTCTCAAATCAATCTAGCCCACTCAACAATAAGCCGACAACACAATCAGCCCACACATTTTTTTCTACCATTAGCAATATAGGCTTTACCAGATTGCACTTTAGTAGCCCAAACAATTGTATTAATGACGAAATAGAAATCAGATTTTAGTCACCCAACAACATATAGATAGACATTGCAATATCATTCTTGCAGATTCGGAACCACAGCAAGCATCGAGTTTCTTCTTCGGAGGACGATATGCGGGTCTTCGGGCCCGGACACTCAAAACACGCAAGGTACACAGTCGGTTTATCTTGGTTCAAGCCTCTGAGCCTTCGTCAGTATGGTGTTCTTCGTGTTAGGAATGTCCAATCAGGGTTCCTACAACAAAGGAATTCAAAGAGAGTTTGGAAGGGGATTGCGCGTTACTATCCTAGTAATTTAATATTAGTAATATTCTTTTCAGTAGCTTTAACAGAAGCACCCAGAGAGATACCTACTCTATTAACAGTACTAGCAATAACATTATCCGGAAGAGATAAAAATGAAAGGTCTGGAACCATACCTTTTTCCTTAGAATGATCCAGGTTTTTGCGAGCCTTGAGTTTTGTTGCCTTCTCCAATGAATCACTATCAGCAGTTGCAGTATTATGTTTGCTCTTCCGTGTTGGAGTGATATTCAAAGCAGGAGGATAGATGTCTTTCTGGGCTTTTTTTTTGGAGTTGTAGGTGGACCATAAAATCTTTCTGCTACCCATATTGTTTTGTGGGCTGCGTGTGGCCGGTCTGCTTGAGCATCACCGCTGGCTTGCCTGCCAAACGCCTGCCTTGAGCAGATTGGCCTGCTGCACCGTACCTGTGCTGCACCCAGCTAGGCTGGAGCCGAACTGTGGCCCAACCGCGGGTAGGAAGGATCCTTCCGCTGCAAAGCAGAACTCCCAAGCGCCTAAGTAGCTGGCGGCAATGGAGTTTGACCAGAGTTTGCAACATCCTTTGATTTTCCACCACTTTTATTCACAGAATATTTTTCCTGCTCTTTGCTGCCTCCATCCTTAATTATAATTGAAGGTCGAAGACATAATCTCCGATCACCACATCAACAAGCTCAGGGATGCGCTCAGGCATAAGTGCAGCCACACCTTCAGCCTTGCTCTACCGAATGTTTTGGTAAATTTCATGTCAACTTCTCGTGTATCCCCAATGATAGTACCAACTGCCCATATGATTGGGAATTCGCGTATTTTTTTAGGGAGACCATGGCACTGGACCCAACATTTGGGAACTTCATATTTGTAGATTTCAACATCTTTTTTTCTCAGAAAATTCTAGCACTCCATTTGCAAACTTGGCCTGACCGACCCCCCCCAATTCCACCATGCGTAGTAACGCGTAACATATAGAAGTAATCACATAGCAAGTGATGGCAAGAAGGCAGTAGAGACAAAGGAGAGACGATAGGAATTGGAAACTAGCTAGGTGTGTGCATGACCTCACGCCACTGGCGTACATCGTTGATTAGTTATGTCGAGGTAAGGGCAACATACACATATAACTGCTATAAAGTCTACAGCATTCCAGATGCTCCATCATCGAGCTCCAATGAATGAACAAGGCCTTATTGGCCAAACTAAGGAAACTAAGGTATCATACATGCATGGATATGCACTATATGTACAATGTACTAGCGCTGTTCTGTCAAGAGTTAGGCCGACACTCCATGACTCTAGTGCCACACCAAATCCCCACTCTCAGCATACGCTATACGATAGTCCAAAGATGATGGTTTTCGTTAGGATCGATTTGTAGAGGCGAGCCATCTCTAAACCATTTTTAGAGGCAGTTTTTTTTTTTGATAGAGCCAAAAAGTAGAGCACCTATCTTAAAATCGTTTCTAGCATAGTGATGACTTATTGTTGGCCAAAATAGTAAGGTAATATATAGAAGTAATCAGATAACGAGAGATGGGAAGAAGGCATTAGATCGAGACAAAGAATAGAAGATGAGAACTGGGAACTAGGGTGTGGTACATCAACACGCCTCATGACACTAGCTTACATCGTTGATTATAGTTATGTCGAGGTAAGGGCAACATACACGTATAACCGCTACATAGTCGATCTATAGATAGAATTCCACGTGATCCATCAACCAAAGCCCCAATAAAGTCACAAGGCCCTTGGTCAAGTTGAGAAAACTAAGGTGCAATGCATGGATATGCACTACATGTACAGTACGTGTGTACTAGCGCTATTCTGTCAAGAGTTAGGCTGGCGCTCCATGACTCTAGGGCCTCTCCAAACCCCCACACCCAGGCCACGCTATACGGTAGTCCAGAAACAATGGTTTTCGTTAGGATCGATATATAAAAGCTGCTTTTAGAAATGTTGCTATATATCCACCAGTTAACATATAGATTGTTACTACTTGCCCACCAGTTAATATATAGATAGATTGTTACTATTGTATATTTTGGTCATTGTAAGGTGTAAGTAATGTTGCTATATATACACACCTTTTACTGACCAAACGGATGGATGCTGAGAAATGCCGACATGCGCGTATTGCAAATGGACAATCTGTTATATTTTTTTGCCGATTGTCTGCTTGAGGATATAGATATCTTTAATGACTAACAATCTAATTTAGACCTAGAAAACAACAATTACTCATATTAATCATATATAACATCATTGTTTTAATATGACTTGACAGAAGGCTTCTGTCACTTTTCACTGGCATTATATCGGAAGGTGATCGATCTGGCTGTAAGCGCGCAAGTTTGTAGTCACTACGTGAAAAGATCCATAAGTTGACTCCACATCTCGAATGGCACTACATATATTTGACAAGTCTAAAAATGAACCCAGGGGTGGATTAGTGGTGTTTCTCAAAGTCTGTCAACCCCTACAGATCTATAAGTTATTAAGGAAAATACTATTAGAACTCAAGAAAGTTTATGCCATATATAGAATGAAGTTGACTCCAATGACTTTGATGGCGCTCTTTGCTAGATTTGCCCGTAAAATTAAAGAACCCTCACTTCTGGCTGCACATAAATTAAATGACACGTCCAGGTTCAATGCAAATTCGTCACTTTTGGGTCATTTAGGTTTTGAGCCTTAATTATTAGGGCATGTTTAGATCCACCCAACTAAAGCTTAACTAGCTAAAATTTCAAAGCTAAACTTTATCCAGCTAAAAGTTATCTCAGCTAAACTTTATTTAACTGTGGTGTTTTGATCCTCCGGCTAATAGACTCAATTAAACTTTAGCTGGGTTGAAGTAGCTTATTAAACTCAGCTAAATTTTAGCTGATCTTTTAGCTAGACCGTTTGGATCCCTAACAGCTAATAAGTTTAGCCAACTAAAGTTTAGTTGGCGGATCCAAACATGCCCTTATTTTAGTTCACGCTAGTTGTCTGTGCATAGAGTGACAGCTGAACTATAGTAAAAGTAAAAATTCTCGTCACTGATGATGACGGCTGTCACCGCCACTAATAACGTGGATTTAGTGGCTGGGGGGGGGTATATAGGTACAAATTCTACCTTCCACAGGCTATTCTCCTCATCCGTATTATACAAATTTGATAAGCAAATTCCGATCCTACAAGAGCATCTATTATAGAATCACTATAGTTCGAGGCATGGATAGTGTATAGGTTTCTCTGTTGTAGAGCTACCTCACGCAACAACAGATGATTCCAAGTAAAATTTCTTCTGTCATAAAAAATACCAGTCAACTAGCTAGAAACATAGGTACGTATTCAAAGTAAAAGTTCTTACAGCTGGCTTGTATTGTTTATGCTATCTACATGACCATGCATGTATCCATAGCTTATTCTTCTTTTTCGTTGGTTCTAGGAACTTAGGAGGAGTATACAGGTATTTGCAAAGTATGCATGCTACCAAGTTATCATTATTGGGCGTGTTAGTCTTACGTACTTGTTGTAATTTGCAAGTCTCTAAGTCCACAAACGCTACTCCTGGGACAAGCCGTACGTAGGTAGGAATGCATGCAATACTTCTGCATCGTATAGTTATCTCATTTTCTCTTTTTGTGTGAAGCCCTAGATTATCGGAAGTATGGGAAGGAGCCAGGATGGGACGACCTCGAATGTCCAGGAGGGGAGCTAGGGTACGTTTCCATCGTTAGAAACTTGTGCTTCATTGATGTGCCAGCCGCCGCCCAGCCGGACAATCACGGACTGAGCGCTATTAGCCCCAGAGACACTTGCAACGAACCTGACTGTGATGACCTGAATGCGCTAGGGCTACGAATATACGCCAAGGCAAAACTTGTGCCGAGAGATCCGCCCCGCCTGCTGCTGGCCTATAAATACTCGGTATGGCCGATGATACGCCTTCAAGCACAGGCACACGGTTCAGAACACAATACACAACATATATCCAACCGCAGCCAGTAGCGCGATGGCATCATCCAACAAGTCCACTGGTTCCCCTGCGCTCCTGTTCCTAGCGGTGGCACTCGCGTTAACGGCGGCTTCGGTGCGCGGTGCGCCGACGCCTGCTCCAACGCCTGCGCCCACACCCGCACCGACCCCTACACCGACTCCTGCTCCGACGCCTCCAGAGCCGACACCCGCACCGACCCCTACACCGACTCCTGCTCCGACGCCCGCGCCGACCCCTGCTCCGACGCCCACACCGACCCCTGCCCCGGCACCATCCCAAAACCCGTGCCCTTCCGGCTTTCCTAACTCAGTCTCATTCATTCAAGGCATGGCAGATTATCTTTTCCACCGCATCGTTCTCGTCTTGTCCCCTGTCAAGGTCACCCCAGGCACCAGCACCACGAAATGCATTTGCTATTTCTCTACCAACATCACCATCCCCATTCCCTTGTCGCCCCCCATTGTCGAGCCCAACGTCAAGGGCCCCCTCGCATGCGTGCCAGCCAAAAATTGAGCACCTGAATTCAGCATGATGGCACACACGCACGGCAAAAATGTGCGCATGCACACATGTTGCAACTCACACCAATTTACTCCTACTATATCTATATACACACTACTACAGTATATATATGAATAAGTTACACCCCATCGTCTCTGCATGTGCATGCGTTGTCTGCATGAAATGCGGAGGCTAATTCATGCATGTGTTACCCTATATACGTACAACAGTGGCATGTAAGAGGGGTGCGTTGGCTATAGTGAAGACAGATGATGTAATGTGTGACATGTTTGTGTTGTTGTTATATGTACGTGTGCTCAAAATACCAACGATATATACTGGAACCATATTAATTAAATGCTTTCGTTATATTACTCCATCAAGTATATTTCCGCTACTACATGTCTTGCACAGTTGCTGCATACATATTCCATAAGATAATACACACAACATAAAGGTATAAATTACTTCTAGTAAATAGACATATATAAGCACTACCGCAAAATAGAATATCCTTGAGGGTCAGAAACCTCAAAGATATATATTTTCTTAAGGTCCGAGGACTTTCAAGGATATATGCCGCTGACCCCAAGGATATATAGCAAAAAAGAAAAGGACACAATTTACGCCAAAGATAGGAATCAAACATGTGACTGAAGATTTCGCGTGAACCACTTGCCACTGCACCACGCAGTCATTTGTGATTTAGTGAATGTTTCTTTCTTTTTATATTCACTTTTGTGGAACTTGTAATAAATATTTGAGATTCTAAACAATTTCAAATGAAATTGATTTGAACTAAAAAGTTTTATATCTCGTCGAGTGCTACAACTTTTATATTAACCATGTGAACACATTCAAGATCATTTGGAAATTATAAATTTTGAAATAAAAAATCTAGGAACTTGAAACGTATATTTGAGACTCTAAACAAGTCCAGATCAAAAACTTTTCAACTACATACACTACCACAAAACTGAATTTCCTAGGAGGCCGAAAACCGTCAAGGAATATAGAAAAAACGTCAAGGAAATATTTGTTGGCGGTAAACCGTCAAGCATGAACCGCCAAGGCTGGATCGCAAGGAAAATAGAATTTACTTGGTGGCTAGCCCTCAAGCTAGTTTTCCTTGACTGCCCACCCTCTAAGGAAATATGGACACACACTAGATTGTCACGACGACAAGAAAATAAGTCAGCAGTCAAGGGAATTCATTTTCTTGGGGGTGAGTAACCGCTAAGGAAATATGTCAACCACCAAGGAAATATGTCAAAAAAAGTTCAAAAATCTCAAAACCCTGCGGCCACCAAGTTTCACATTGTTACTTTCTTACCACTACACCTCAAGATCATTTGTGACTAAATAGCTGATGCATTGCTTTTGTATTTAGCCTAGCGAATTTTGTAATGCATATTTGACATCCTAAATGAATTCAAATGAAAAAAGTTTGAACGGGAAAGTTTTAGATCCTTTCGAGTACTACAACTTTGGTTTAGGTCACTTCTTCATCCGAGATCATTTGAAAAATTTATAAAAATACTAATTTTTAAAAAATAATTTTCTTGGCGGTTTGCAATAGCACTCAAGGAAATGGTGTTTTCCCCGGCGGTTCATAGAAGCACTCAAGAAAAGTTGCATATTTTTTTGGAGGCCGAGCGAAACCACCAAGGATAAAAATTACCTTGGCAGTTTACTACAACCCCAAAGAAAAATGATAGATTCCTTGGCAGTGGGATTTTGGCTCTCAAGGAGATCTTGAACCCCAAGGAATTTCTATTTTGGTGCAGTGATAGTTCTAGATTGTATAAAGAATACAACTTTGGTATTGACCATGTAAACATTCTAGGTTGTTTGGAAATTTTAAATTTTAAAATCCATGAATTTGAAACAATATTTTGGGACACTAACCAAATTTAAATAAATATTCTCAACTACAAAGTTGCAAATCGCGTTGAGGGATACAATTTTAATGTCAAGTTTGTCTTCATCCAACTTTATATGTAAAAGCTATGAATTATTTTTTGATGCAACTATTTTTAGGGGCAGACTTCTTAAGATGCCCGATTATTTGATTTCTAGAGACGATTACTTAGAAAGCCCTCCTCTATTAATAGTGATTTTCAAAGGCGCTGTTATTAATATATACAGAGGAGTGACGAGTGTGCTAAGATGAAATCGATGATTAACAGAGGCAATCGCCTTAGCATGCCTACGTCTATAAATGATAGAGGCGGGCGTTTGCCTAGAGGCTGTGTAACCACTGACAAAGGCGGCTCCTAGATATGTGTGTCTCTATCTCTCTGTTAAATCAGAGAGGCTATCTACTAAAATCTTTTTTCTATAGTAGTGTGGCCTTACTAAATGCGTCTACCAATGATCTCCAACTTCTAGAGGTAATCGGTAAGATAATTAAGCCAAATCATATTTCTAGAGACGCTTGGAAACAACAGTCGCACTGGAAAACTAAGTTACAGATGTGGCTGATGTTTCAAGATGCCTCTGAGAATGGCTTCTCATGATAGACCTCGGGGGCTACTGTCGACTATAGGCATCCCATATATAGATATTCTCATATTCACTGACTTGTCAACCAAAGAAGGATCTACGTGGCCGAAGTAAAAACATAATAAGCACTCTTGCTCATCTAGAATTCTTTTCCTTCCTTGCATAATTAATTCACCTAGACTATAGGCTCCACCAGTACGCACACAAACATAGAGATGTTCTTCCAACACACGCAAGAACTGTTATAAAAAAACACGGAAGGACTCATGTTTTATTTTGATTGGTTATCTCCTTCTTATTCACAAAAATCTCCATGGCAGTCTTCTTGTCGTGCCTTTTATAAGCAGGAAAGGACTTCCCTTGACCTAGAATCATGCGAACGGACTTCACGTCACTGGCGTACATCATTTGAATAGTCATATATGTCGAGGTAGGGGCAACATGCACGTATGACTGCCACAAAGTCTACAGCATTCCACGTGCTGCATCAACCGAGCCCCAATAAGTGTACAATGACTTATCAAATTAACCAAGGAAACTAAGTATATATATATAATGTGTACTAGCGCTATTCGATCAACAGTTAGGCGGTCCATGACTCTAATGGACACTCCAAATCCCCACGCCTAAGTAAACCATAGTCCAAAAACAATGGTTTTGTTAGAATCGATAAATTAATTAAAGCCGCTCAATCAGTTGATATAGATCGCTACTATTGGTAGAATTTGGTGGTTGTAAGTTGCAAGTGATGTTGGTATATAATTTTATTGACCAAACCGTTAGTTGGACGCTGAGAAATGCTGGCATGGGCATATTGCAAATGGACAACATCTCTGTTATAATTTTTGCCGACTACTGTCTGCTTGAAGACCAAGATATCTTTGCCGACCAACAATCCAATTCTATGTATTCATATGGATCTAGAAAACAATGATTAATATCGTATTAATCATATAACATCATTCTTTTAAGACAAGAACTGACAGAAGCCTTTGAAAAGGCGATCTATCCGGGTACGGTGTAAGCAAGATCGTGTACTCACTGCGTGAAAAAAAAAACCGTAGCACATCTAAAATAATAGAACCTTCACTTCTCACTGCACATACATAAGAGCTCAGGATTAGCGATAGGCTTTGAGTCTTCAGTTTTAGTTTGTACTATTATTGTGCCTAGGGGAAGTAAAAGTAAAAATGCTCGTCACTGATGACAGCTTTGATCTCCATTAACGTGAATTTAACAAAAAATGAAGATACCAATTTTGATCTTTCCCCATGCCATTCTCTCGTCCACATACAAATTTGACAAACTCAAATGTCTCCACAACAGCATCTATTATAGGAACTAAGCATAGGTCAGCTGGTTATGGTGGAAACCCACTAGGTTCAAAACATCATGTGGGTGCTTGTGTTCTATTTGTTGGATTTATTCCAGAAATTTAACACACTATTGGAAACTCGAATATTTCTGTGTGTGCAAAAACCCACGGAAAAATTCGAATACCCACGGAAAAATATTTTTCTGACGGTGTACCGTCAGAAAATAACACACAGAAATAGAATGACAGAAAAATCAAATTTTTCTGTGGGTTCACCGTCAGAAACAACTTTTCTGTGAGTCTCACACGCACAGAAAAATTGTGTTCGCCCAGATTAAAACTAATTTTTCTGTGTGTTAATCCACATAGAAAAAAGAAATAAACGCACAGAAAAACACATGTTTTTTTCTATTGGTCTAGTTGAACTCACGGAAAAATTCATTTCGCCCAGATTAAAAATAATATTTTTGTGTAGCCAGCCTCACAGGAAAAAAGAGTTAAACACACAAAAAAAATTATTTTAAAACAGTAGCAACAACATATTAAAATATATATTTTCCATACAGTAATTTATGTGCATGACCAACAAGGTTTCATTCAAATAATACACAAATCAGTAGTTCATCATGAATGGAGTCAACACTTATGTTAAAAATAGAATCAGTCTGATCTATCGCCCACTCATCGAAATGAGAGACTTTGCCGAGTGCAAAATTCTTTGCCGAGTGTCAAAAATCGGGCACTCGGCAAAGACCTTCTTTGCGAGTGTCGCACTCGCAAAAAAATTGCACTCTCGAAAAGAGTTCTTCGCCGAGTGCCGCACTCGGCAAACACGGACACTTTCGTGAACGACTTCTTTGCCGAAGTGCTAGACTCTCGGCAAAATTTCTACACTCGGCATAGGTCACTCAATTTCACGGCCTTCTTTGCCGAAATGTGTTAGGCACTTAAAGATTTGTTTTTTTTGTAAAAATTCTTTGCCGAAAGTCGCCAGATCCGCACTCGGCAAAGATTTAATTTTTTTTTAAAATTCTTTGCCGAGCGCCTCGGATCTGGCGCTTCGGCGAAGAATTTTTTTAAAAATTACTTTCTTAGAAAACTCAAACTTTTCGGCAAGATTTAATTTTTTTATAATTTCTTTGCCGAGTGTTCTGTGGATGCACTCTCAAGCAAAGAGTAAATTTTTTAAAAA